AGTTTAGCACATGCAAAAACTTCTAATTGTCAGTTTAGGATAACCAGTGTACCTGGAGATTAAATCCCTATAGGAGCCGAGTAAGGAAGAGAACCAACTAGCACCATAACTAATATGACACAGACAAATTACAAGGACTAAAGACTAACATCATCCCTTTGGTTTGTGGTGAAATGAATTAGAATAGATTTTTTATAAAATTATGGACAGTTTCCCCATTGATAGCTTCGGTAAATCTTGTTGAGCGAACACCATTCCGTAGAATGACCAAAATCGGTACAGGCATCGTAACATACACCTTTATATATGAAAGGAAACGCGCACTTCCCTTTTTCTGTCATGATTGTTGGGTATGCTGAAATACAAAGTTAAATAAATTAAACTAAGTATTGACGACTTTAAAARTAGGCGGTAAGTCAAGGCTGCCGACAACCTCGTTACCAGGCCTTCGGAAGGAACAAAGGGCCTGGGAACAAGGTTGGGCTGCCAATCAGGGGTTAATGACCAAAGGAATGCATCTCGTGAATCAAAACAAGAGACTTAATTTCTTCAGCACTGGAATACATCGTTTTGTCCTTAAGATAATGCTACAATCATTGACAAAATCCTTGGACCATTCCAGTGAATTTCCTCATTTTAAACAACACCCGCAGACAATTTCATCCCCCCGCCCTGACCCCCTGAATGCAATGTTGTCATTGAGCATGTTACCATAGTACACAAGCATCCAAACTGAGACCCAACATTGATGAAAGGGGGCTAAGGGGAAAAACTGGAGACAAACTAACGATTGTAGACTATGAACTTCAATGTTTTTTTCTAACTGATGACGTCATGTTTGTTTCGGCGAAGTGCATCATGGTATTGAAAGAATCAAAATGGCGGRTGTCTTACTRCTGAGGTCAAAATTTCTCTTTGCAAAATTCAGCAACCTTGTGATCAGTTGTCGAGATGCTTTGCTAGAACATTAAATAAGATGTCTGAATACTAGARTATGCTGGTCTGGGGAATATGGAATCGTTAATTGGAAGGGATATTGCCTTGCTCATCTCATGTTTTACTCAAACTTACTGCAGTCCTTTTGGTCAAAAGACGGTCCAACACACGGGTCAATTTGACAGGACCTAGTACGATTAACCCTTCCACAGTCACATGGCTTCCATGCAGTCCAAGACGACCATCCTGATAAATCTATATGAGACATTAATATTATTATTGTTGTTTTTTTTTTTCTCCTGCATTGATGCACTTAAAGTACACTTTATGATCAAAGTCTAGAAGATCTCATGCAAAATCTGTTGGATACATATGGAGAAACAAAGGCAGCAACTTCTACTCAATTATTTTAAGACCCTGAGTATTGGTCCGGCCAGGGTTTGAACCCGCGACCTCCCGCATTGTAGTCCGATGCTCAGCCGACTGAGCCAATCGGTATGCGATTCGGGTGTTCGGGTGTTACAGACTTGTTTCTACCTTTTCACTCTTGTTTACRTCGGGCGATAACATAGTTGACACTCCGTTGTTAAAGGACGGGAGTAAACACAAAAATGGTATATTATTTTTAAAAAGAAGAAGAAGAAACACAACAACAACAACAATTAACAATAACAATTAACAATAATAAGAACAAGATCACAAGAAGAAGAGCAACAAGAAGAAGAAGAACAAGAACACAAGAAGATGGTGATATGAATCAAGAAACCCTTAAAAACTATTGTACTTACGTTGAAGCTCACAGTTCCTGCCAGTAATGTCAACTAGACATGTGCAAGAGTAGTTAGTTCCGCCATCTTTCACRGTACATATTCCKCCATTTTGACAAGGATTTGGCGAACACTTTCAATAATAAAATATGATAAGATGTCACCAAACAGAAATGATAAAGCATCAACATTTATAATTCATACCATGTCGATTTCGCAATGCATTCCAGTGTGACCGGTACTGCAAGTACAGGTGTATTTAGTACCCCCATCATTCACAGTACATATTCCA